TACAGCTTTCACACCAAGCACTCCCTCTGTGTCAGATCACTCACCCTGGTGGAAACCAGTTTCCCTGTTGTGAGGCAGCCTGTGGAGAATCCCACAGGGTGAAAGATTGAGGTCTGCCAACAACCCTGCAGGGGAGCTTAGAGTTAGTTTCTCCTCCGTACCAGTCAAGCCTTCGTATAAAACCACAGCCCAGACTGACCGTCTGACTGCAACCTCGTGAGAGACCTTGAGCCAATGGTACTATGCGGCACCGGGATTCCTGACCCACAGAAACTGCAATAATAAATGTTTGTTGTTTTAAGCCATAAAGTTTTAACATGATTTGTTATTCAGAAAGAGATAACTAATACAAAATATGGCCAGTGGAAATGGAGAGAAGTAAGCAACATGTTCAGGGAAAAAAGTTTTGTTTTGTTTTGTTTGTTTTGTTCTGAAAACAGGCTAGCAGAATCTACTAGGTTGGCTTAGATCGAATGTAAAGGAAAATGAGAAATAAAGAATGATTCTTGGGTTTTTAGCTTGAACAGTTATGTGAATAGTAATGCCATTAACTAAGATTGAAAAATCCGAAGGAAAATTAGCTACCACGTGGAACTGTCAAGGAGCACTTGGATGGACAGCTCTGGAGTTCTGTAGATAAAGGGCTGGAAATACAGATTTGAGATAATCATAGTATGAACCTTACTGGTTGTGATCAGTAGGTGAGCTGATGCAGATAAAACCCTTTGTGCAGGATACACAATTATTTATAGTAGGTAATATAGGATTGTGTCCCCCAAAAAGCTATGTTCAAGTCCCCTGGGACCTGTAAATGTGAGCTTATTTGAAAATAGAGTCTTTGCAGAAGTAATTAGTTGAGGTGAGATCATATTGGATTATGACGGGCCCTAATCCAATGACTGGTATCTTTATTAGAAGAGAAGGCAGAGACACAGAGATGTGCACAAAAAGGAGAATGCCATCTAGAGACAGAGACACAGATGGCAGTGATGCAGCTGCAGGCCAAGGAATGCCAAGGATTGCCTAAGAACCAGCAGAAGTTAGGAGAGACCGTGGGATGGGTTCTTCCTCAAGGCCTCCAGAAGGAACCAACCCTGCCAATGCCTTGATTTCTATCTTCTAGGTTCGGGAATTGTGAGGATAGATTTCTGTCATTTTAGGCCACCCGGTCTGGTAATTTGTTACAACAACCATAGGAAGCTGATACAGTATCCAAACAAATGTGAAAGGTTCTCATGGCTTCCATTATTATTTACATCGTATCACTGTTATGGTTAAATGTCCAAATACCTAACGCATTGCTTTGTGCATTGTAAGAACTCAATTCACGATTATGATAGAATAAAAGATCCGTAACATGTACAGATTTAAAGGAAGTAATGCAGTGTGAGGGGCACCTGCACATACTCCAAGGAGGTCTAGAGAGAACATATCATTTTCCTGTATCGGAAAACCCACTTTGCACGTAGAATTTCAGGATGTAGAAGTTCTGACTATTTATTTCCTCTCTAACCTGACTTCAGAAAGGATTTCCTGTCCCCGTATCTAGATCCAGCTCAAGTTCTTCTGCCACACTGCAGTCTTCCCAGAACAAGCTCTCCGCGTGACTGCAGGCTCCTTCAAACTCACACCCTTGCCTTTACTTACCCATGAATTATATATCACATTGTTTGAATTATAACCTTATATATTCACTCAACTGTTCATGTCACTATATTATCTCTCTAATTAAATTATAAATACCTAAAGTTCAGAAGTACAACCTTAATCTTTAAAAACACAGCAGAGGCTGAGTGTGGCAGCTCACACCTGTAATCCCAGCACTTTGGGACGGGGCTCAGGACAACTAGCAGGTGTCCCCAGGTTATAGCTCAGGCCTCTGAGTGACCTGGAGTCTCAGCCTATCACCCATCCTTTTGTTGAAAAATCTGGATATGGAAGAGTTGGATCCAAGTAGGCAAATGAAGCATAGACCAAGAGATGTCACATGAGAGTCAAGAGACTTATGTTTAGACCTGGTGTGGCTACTTCCTAGTGGCAAGACTCTGGGCAAATCCCTTCGTCTCTTCAGGCCTCCTCTGCAAAATGCCAGGCCAAGTGACTTCTTACATTCTGTGACTGTGGGTTTCTAGTGGTTATATGCTAGGCTATGCTTTTACTCTGTCCTTACTCATGGCTTTGCATGGCCCACATGGCTTCAGGAACACAAAAGCAGCCCAAGAAAAGGTTTCAAGGTCCCATATCCTGCCACCATGGAGGACAGAGTGCTTCTTGCTGCTAACAGAATTTACCTGCAGGCCCCCTCCTGGTCTCAATTTAGGTGAGAAAGAGGACAAAGAAGAAGAATGTGTAGGTAATATAACAAACTCTGCATCTTTCCAACTTTATGGTTTATTCAAATACCAATATAGAGTAGCCTTGAGATAACAACAACAACAAAAAAATCTAAAACTGGAATATCCCATCAAGGTATAACCACTTATTGTCCACCCATCCCTTAAAAAATAAAAGAGAAATAATAAAAGAGTTAAAATTATTGTCCATACATTTGGCATGAATAGTTACACTCTAGATAACCTAGTCATGCACAAGACTAAACAAAAAATATAGTCTTAGACACTAGTAAATTGCACATTCAATTAGATTAAGGGTTTTAGCTGGGCATGGTGGCTCACACTTATAATCCCAGCAACGAAGGATTGCTTGAGGTCACGAGTGTAAGACCAGTCTGGACAACAGAGTGAAGTCCTATCTCTTAAAAAATAAAACATAAAAAAATTAGCTGAGTGTGGTGGTGCACATTCCTGAGTAGTCCTAACTACTCAGGAGGTTGAAGCAGGAGGATCACTCGAACCCAGGAGTTCCAGGCTACAGTGAGCTACGATTGCACCACTGCACTCCAGCCTGGGTGACAGAGTGAGACCCCATCTCTAAAAATAAATAAATAAACAAATAAATAAACAAATAAATAATAGAGTGAGCATTCCAGAGAAGATCAAAGTAGAGGACTTTCATCATAGCCTGTCTTTCAGCCTACCTGGCAAAGAGCAAGTGGCCAACGAGTGCGAGATGAATTGAATGAAGTTCCCACAATATTCTTCATAATGTGTGAATATGTACATGTGTTTTTAGAGCAGATCAAGTAGATATGTCCCTGGGTCAGACGAGAAGCACTGAAACATCAAAGCTGTGTATATGTGAGGTGGAGGTTATTAGAGTGAACATACCAAAAATTTAACAGCAGAAGGCTTTTAGGGTATGCCCTAGGTTTTTCTTGTTTTTCAATAGCTCCTTGAAATATTAGGGGGGGAGAGAGAGGGGGAAAGAGAGAGTAAGAAAGAGCGAGCAAGAGAGAAAGCCAGAGAGGGAGAGAGAAATTTCATGGAGATAAAAACTAGTAAAAAAGAGTGTAAAGGTGAGGCAAATAAAACAGGGATAAGAGGTGTCCGCAGAAGTAACCCGTGGTTTAGGAGGAATAATCAGGGCAGGGCTGATCTTCATTTTAGAACTGATCAAAGGAAGCAGGCTTCAGTTTGGTTTAGTTTTTAATTAAAGCCCTGGCGCCCTCTAGCGGGATGACAGAGCAGTGTCTATAGCGGAGTGTGTTCTCTTCGGAACTGTGTTCTCGCTTTGGAATCACAATTGTTTGTTTCCCTGTATATGCTTTCCATACCATGTTTCTTTTTTTACTAGGTGTTTTTATCTCCTCTTATTGAAGGTCACATCCTCTTTATCTCTCTAAGTAAAGCCAGGAATTCTGCATTACCCCAGGAGTGAGGACAGTTATGCTTAAGATACTTTTGTTTCGGTTTAGTCCCAGACTGTGAAAACATTTCAAATTTCTTAAGTAAATCCTTAAAAATGTAATATACACTAAAGAAGTTGACGTGGCATTTAAATGAACTGCAACTTGAGAAGTAATTCAAGGGGTTTTCACTCATTACCTTAGAAGATTCCTTAGAATTTACTTCCATTGTTCTAGGCAACACCTAATAAAGGGTTCTGATTATAATAGTAGTGGAAATGGGAGGCTGATGGCCCCAAATCAGCCGTATGGTATCCTCTGTTCCATCCGCATCTAGGTAAAGAGAGAATCGGGTATATGTGATCAAACAATTTGTTGAAGTGCTTTGGGCCGATGGCGAGACAGGTGGCATTTAATGTCTGTGAAGTCTGCTCGCCAATTATATGCTCTGTTTAGCTCCACTTCTCAGAATACACCAAGTGGGGGCAACACTAGAACCCAGAATTCTGTTATATGAAGATCCTTCGAAAATCCTGACAATCCCGGGACACCGCATAAGCGATCAGCTAATTAGAGAAGGAATCGCGGAGCCAGCGTTGTGTACGCAATAAGCACCCATCATCAGATTTAGGAATGAAAAGAGGCCACTATCATTGCTTTTAAAAAGAAAAGCGGGCAGGAGACAGCACAATTTTAGAAACATCCTTGACCAAATGGAATAATTTCAATGATAAAGTGGGACTGGGGAAGAAAGAAGAAGAAAAAAAAAAAACTTCTAATCGTAATACTTGGGAATAAGGAAGAGGAAACGCAAGTCAAAGCAGACTTTCTCCCACCACAAAGGAAAATAACGGATTACGACCATTTCCTACTGGGACTTCGGAGAGGAAAAGGGGAGTTGACCAGTGGGCTTTGCCTGCCACCGAGCTCCCCCTCCTCCCCGGCGGGGGCGCGGCTGGGTTCAGCACCTCGGAAAGCGCCCCCTCTCCGCGCGGGGCTACGCATGCTCCTTGCCGCCTCCGCCTCAGCAGTGCGGGTGCCAATGGAATTCCGGTGCGCGCGCAGGCAACCCACTCGGAGTGGACAACAGCTGAGAGACCGAGACACTCACATACCTGCAGGCAGAGCGAGGTGGGCGAAATCTACGAGCTCTTTCTCTCAAAGGACGGAAACCTAGTCCAAGCAGCAACGGAGGAAACCGACCAAGGTATTTGCAAGAGGAGCGGCCCCACGCGCTCTTGAGCAGCGGGGTGAGTTATGCGCCAGTGCCCAAGTGACAACGGGAAACAGAGGCGGGAGGGGAGTCTGAGTTGTAGAGTGGGAATCTAGAGACTCCGAACTTGGCCCGAGAGCCCTTGGACGCCAACCTCTCGCCTAAGGAGCTGCACTCCTCAACTCCGCTCCAAAGCAGAGGCTGAGCTCTACTCCTGCGCCCGGGGCGGTGCTGTGCGCGCGGACCGCTCTATCTTCAGCAGCCACTTTGAAAGCTCCCGCGCACGCCCCGCGCGCTCACCTGGGGACAACACCCGGGCGAACCGTGTTCCCGTACGTCTTGTTCCCCAGAAGCACCTGCGCATTCCAGTGGCTGCTGCAGCCGCGATAACCACCATGAATAAGGCCACTGGAGGGGACAAGCTCGCAGAACTCTTCAATCTGATCCCGGACCTTCTGGAAGTGGCCAACGCGAGTGGCAACGCGTCGCTGCGGCTTCAGGACTTATGGTGGGAGCTGGGGCTGGAGTTGCCGGACGGCGCGGCGCCAGGGCATCCCCCCAGCAGCGGCGGGGCTGCCAGCGCTGACATCGAGGCCTGGGTGCGGATCCTCATCAGCGTCGTGTACTGGGTGGTTTGCGCTCTGGGCTTGGCCGGCAACCTGCTGGTGCTCTACCTGATGAAGAGCAAGCAGGGCTGGCGCAAGTCCTCCATCAACCTCTTTGTCACCAACCTGGCGCTGACGGACTTTCAGTTCGTGCTCACCCTGCCCTTCTGGGCAGTGGAGAACGCGCTTGACTTCAAATGGCCCTTTGGCAAGGCCATGTGTAAGATCGTGTCCATCGTGACGTCCATGAACATGTACGCCAGCGTCTTCTTCCTCACTGCCATGAGTGTGGCACGCTACCACTCGGTGGCTTCGGCTCTTAAGAGCCACTGGACCCAAGGACAGGGCCGGGGGGAATGCTGCGGCCAGAGGCTGAGGGACAGCTGCTGTTTCTCCGCCAAGGCGCTGTGCGTGTTGATCTGGGCTTCGGCCACGCTGGCCTCGCTGCCCAATGCCATTTTCTCCACCACTGTCAAGGTGATGGGCGAGGAGCTGTGCCTGGTGCGCTTCCCGGACCAGCTGCTGGGCCACGACAGGCAGTTCTGGCTGGGCCTCTACCACTCGCAGAAGGTGCTGCTAGGCTTCGTGCTGCCGCTGGGCATCATCAGCCTGTGCTACCTGCTGTTGGTGCGCTTCATCTCCGACCGCCGCGTGGTGGGGACCGAAGGCGGGGCCGCAGCAGCCGGGGGAGGCCTGGCAGGAGCCAGCGCCCGCAGACGTTCCAAGGTCACTAAGTCAGTGACCATCGTGGTCCTATCCTTCTTCCTGTGTTGGCTGCCCAACCAGGCGCTCACCACCTGGAGCATCCTCATCAAGTTCAACGCAGTGCCCTTCAGCCAGGAGTATTTCCTGTGCCAGGTGTACGCGTTCCCCATGAGCGTGTGCCTGGCGCACTCCAACAGCTGCCTCAACCCCATCCTCTATTGCCTCGTGCGCCGCGAGTTCCGCAAGGCGCTCAAGAGCCTGCTGTGGCGCATCGCGTCTCCTTCGCTCACTAGCATGCGTCCCTTCACCGCCACTACCAAGCCGGAGCCCGAGGATCTGGGGCTGCAGGCCCTGGCGCCGCTCCACGCCACCGCCGAGCCAGACCTGCTCTACTACCCGCCTGGAGTGGTGGTCTACAGTGGGGGGCGCTACGACCTGTTGCCCAGCAGCTCTGCGTACTGACGCGGGCTGAGGCCGAGGGCGAGCTGTCGGGCAAGATAGCCTTCCCGGGGCGGGGGAAAAAGGCGAACGAACTAGGGGACGCTGCCGCCTCCCACTCCCAATCAAGAAGTAGGTGGGACGAAGATGGGGAGAAACGTGGAGAAGGAGCCTGTGAACAGGCCGGAGGACCTTCTCCGGAGAGGGCGTGCTGCGACATCAGGTGAAGCCGGCAAAGGGGCGGGGATCAGCCCCACAGGGCCAGGCCACCAGCCTCTGCTCCCCACCCCCATCCTCTCCTTCCTCTATCCAAGGCGTGGGGGCACCCGAAAGGGAAGAGAATCGTGACGAATTAAAGAGATTAGGGCACGACGGAGTGGAGTGTAGCCAAACAATGCGTAGACAATTGAGGGCATTTGTTCCAGCGACTTCTATGAAGGGCCTGAAAGGGCGCTCGAGGTGTATCCAGCCAGGGAACGGCCCACACGACCTTTCCTTTGCGCCTCGGCGGGGGCGCTGCACCAGTGCCAGGGTCTGACTTGCCGCGTGGCTGCTTCGGAAGCCTAGAGCTGGAGGCAAGAAAGCTTTTCGGGGTTGGAAGATGGGAGTGACCATCTCGGTTGGCCCCTGGGAGAATGGCGAGGGAGAGCCACCTCCCGTGGAGCCATTGTATCTTTTATCACCTCGGACTGGGTGAGCGGGACCAGGCTGAGCCCGACCAAGACTCTGCACGGCCTCTGGGCTCAGAAGTCACCAGGGGCAAAACACCTGTCACCAGCGTGGGAGAGCGATTCTCTGAACAGTGGCGTTGCTGAGGGAGGGAGCGGGTAGGGTGTGCTTAGACCGGCTGAATAGAGAAGCCACTTCCGGCTACTGCCCCTAGAGGGAAAAGGGGGCTCACGTGCTCACTGGGTAACAGAGCTGGAAGTGGAGCGCCCGGTGCGTGCGCGCCGGAAGCCTGGGCGCTCCAGTTCTCCTTGGAGCAGTCTGGGTTCCTGGAGGCACTGTGTGCTCTAATCAGCGTGCTGCAGGTGAGCTGGGCCCAGGAGCATCTTGAAAGCGCCACTGGGAGCAGGGGCACTTTTGCAGCTCCTCCCTCCTTCCCCTTTGGGAATCGAAATCCCCCTTTTTTGAGACTCTGGACCAGCAAGTAGAGGAATGGCTCCATGACTTTTGTGGGGGACGGGGGGAGTCAGGGGAGTAGGCTTAGATAAGAAGAACAAGAAATGCTACAGGGGGTTCCTGGAAACCAAATTCCTAGAAGCTGGAGTCTGATTTTTCAAGAGGAGCGGTGGAGTGGGAAAGAGAATAGAAGACTCAAGTAAACTCTGTCCTAGAGGGAGGAGAGTACTGGAGAAGCTGTTCTGAGGGTATCACCAGAATTTCAGGTGTGGGGTTCTTAATTGCTCATATTATTGACAAGAGAAGGTAGGAGATAAGAATTCTCACTGGACACTACCTTCTTGAAGTTCATTTATTCTAAAGAGTGCTTTGCACACCGAGCAAGCATGACGAATGCTTCCCTAACCTCCAGTCTATGGGGCTGTCTCTGAAGAGTGACTCGTATTTCTCATGACTACTCTGGTCTGGTTGCAACAGTTTAAGATGTTAAGACCCTCACAAAGTCCTTTCTTGAGGCTGTTCTGAGAACTAGGATCAAACATGTGGCTGTCTGCCAGCTTCGACAGAGGTGCTACTATTCTCTTTGGCAACTTTGGGGTTAAGAAACTAGAAATGCAGGCACCTACTGGCATGGTTATTTTAATACAATAAATAATCATTAGAAAAACATATCTGTTTAAGTCGCCTCTTGAACAGCAGAACTGTTTAGTAATTTGGTTAAAAATGTACTGTAGTGTCTGAGATTTAAGGCTCAACACCCGTATCTCTTGTCCTGCTTTCTCTAACATGACACAGTGAAATTATTGAAACTCATCCTTTCCACAGAAACAAATCTGCCTGATCTGAATCCTGAGCAGTCTTGAGAAGTTTAGCTGTTTTAGGAAACAGTATACTGCTTTTGCCTTGAAATAGTGAAATTCATCTTTCTTTGCCCTTTGGGAAGAAAACTTATTGATATTGAATAGCAATTGGGCCAGGAAAGATTGTAATATAAGCCCCACAAGTCCCCAAAGTACAAAATAAATTAAAAAGTAAACTCTGAAAAGAACTAACAGTAACATGGCAGCATATCCATATATAACACTGATATTAGACTCTTACTGGGAGATTCTTACTAAAGCAACTTGCCATTTCAATTCTGACAATACAGTAATGAGTGGGAAGCTCAGAATTCTTGGGAAGTGTGTTGAAGTGTGTGCTTCTGCTACCACAGACACTAGGAAAAAGAAGGTGCTGGAGACAAAATCTTCATGGAAAAAAAAAAAACAACCTCTCTAAAAAGGGTCACTTTGTCCAAATCCAAAGCTGAGAGCTTCTGAGAACATGACAGGAGGGATCAAAGACCGTGACCTCTGTCTATCACAAGGACAGAAGTATCAACAAGGAAATGGTCAAATCAGTTGAAATCAGCAGTTACTTTTTGAGTGCCTGTTGTATGCCAAAGCCTGTGCTGTGTGCTGAGGTCGCATGCATGAACCAGACACATTTCTGACTTCTACGTGTAGATGGACAGACAGCCATGGTCACAGTACTATAAGACAGGGAACAATTAGTAGAGTGACATAGCAAGGCTAAAAGAAAGTACTATAGGAACACAAAGGAAGGAAAGATTGATTCTGCTGGGGAGTCTGAAACTTCCTGATCAAAATACTATTTGAGATGGGCCTGGAAATATGGACACAATTTAGGCAGAATGGAGGCTGGGCTGAGGCTGGGCTGAGGAGGTAGAAAGGGCATTTGAAGATGAAGAAATGTGGTGATCAAAGGCTTTGAGGTTTGAATGTCAAATGCTTGGTTGGGGAAGCAAAAAGCAAAGGTGAGTGCCTTCCCTTTCTCCTAGGATTTCCCGGGATTTCTATTGAGAATATATGTGCCCCTGCATTTGTTTTGTTTGCCTGGGAACAGGACATATTTTTGCCAGAAAGAACATGTCATTGGTATACTGAGAAAAAATACTTGGGTTCCCAAAGGTGGTTAAAGGCTTCTTAAATTGGATTCTATCCAGTCATTCAAACCTCCATGGAGTCAAGTTCAGTAAGTGTTTGCGTATTTGAGTGTACATGTGTGTGTTCATGCATGTGTGTATGAGAGAGAACATGCCTGCTGTAGCCCCCTTCCTCAGCCCCATAGCCTATCCAATGTTCCATCTAAAAATAACTTCACTTGTAATAAAGCCCATACCATGTAGTTGGTCAAAGATGGCTATGTTTAACTTCTTGGGGGTCCAGGTAGGAAGGCCTTCAGCTATGGGTCACCTTCCCAGCTTGCTCATCCATCCATTTCCAAATCTTCACACACCAGAACAGTCCCTGGAGAAATGTTCAGGAAATAAACACTGAAACTCACAGATGATTCCATCTGTAAACCTTGCAGAGGCCAGGTACAGGTAGGAGAAGCAACAGGGGTGGTTTGGTGCTGTTTCCTTTGTCGTGCTGAGGGCTGTGTGACATGGGGTCCTCTGAGCATTTGCCCATGCTATGGGGTTGGGAGCAGGTGTTTTTTCTGATCACTCCTCTGAGTCAGCTGTGAACTGTTTCTCCAGGATGGATGAAGGAGGGGGGAAAGACTGGGGGAGGCAGGATAGTTTTCACATGCTCCACGAGAAGAATGAGATGATTTCATTTGGGAGTGACTGTGCTAATAGAATAGGGGGACTTGACTGGAGGCAGAAAATGAGAAGTCCCTGTGCAGAGAGGGGAGCAAGGCTTGGAGGTTGATAAGTGAAACGACACCACACTCAGTCAGGGCTGAGAAGACAGCCTAGCCTGGTCTGGAGAGCACCAGGGATCTGGAGAGAATGGGGTAAACTTCAGGAGTCTGGGGCACCTAGGGTGGGATGAGGACGCTGCGTGCCCTGCTGGTGACGAGGGTGAGTGGTGGGCAGGAAGAAGTGGCCACTTCATTTTAAGTCCCCTGCCCTCCACCCTCCTGTCCTCCTCACACACACAGCATAAGTGGCCAGATCCATAGGGGAGCCCCAGATGCCTGGCCCCACTGAGCACTGCCCCAGTCACAGGTGTGATAACCAGGGAGCAGCAGAGAGCAGGCTCTTTAAACTAACAGGAGGCAATTGGGAGAATTGCAGCAGCAAAGTGGAAGCCCGAGCAGGAGCAAGGGGAACAGTGAGTGTGACATATCGGGGATCAGCCTTTGAGATCATGGGAGAGATGAGGAAGGGGAGGCAGGCTGCAGCCCAGGCTGACAGTGGATCCACTCCCTGGTGAGCTCTTAGGCTGTCAGTCTTCAGTAGAGCTGCCCTTAGACCAGGCAGCCAGGGCCCCTGCCTGGGTTTCATCACTGGAGGACCTGGCTCTGCCCTTGCACCTTCTCCCACCTTCTAAATTATGCTCCAGTACGTGAGGCCTCAGAATTCCCCATCCAAAAATTCCCCATCCAAATGGCCCCGAGTCTATTTACAAGGACTTCACGTGTCCCTTTCTGAGTCCCCCCTCCAGAAGGCAGACCAACCACTGCATCTGTGCCCCCTTAGGTGTGAGGGGTCCCTAAGGGGGTTCGTTTGTTGGGATGGTAGAGGGTGGAGGGGGTGGAAGCCTGTGGATGGGCTGGCACCAAAGCGCACACGGGACTCTCCCGGTGCTGACAGAGAAGGGTGGGAGGAGCAGGGAAGAGGGATGGGCTGTGTGCGTGGCCTCCGCTCACTCCTGCCTCTGCCCCTGCAAATGCTAGGAGTGGGCCTGCACCCTTTGTTCACCCAACAGCTGTGAGAAAGAGGACCCAAAGCCTGCCAAGGAACAGAGCCTGCTTTCTCTTCTCAGGAGCACTATCCCGAATGAGCCGACACGGCAGGGGCCTGGCCATGCTACTGAACCCACCCATTCTACTGTGCACTAGGCAAACAAAAGCAACACCTTAAATCCCAAATGTCCCAGCTCTGAAAAGTAGCTCGTGTCCTTTCTCCCGACTCCTTTCCAGCACTGAAGTTTGTGGTCAGTTAGAAGTTCACTCAAGGCAATGACTATACTATAGGACTCTGGATGAAGCAGGAGAAGGAACTACACAATTTCTTTAACTTCTAAATACATCTGGGCCAGTCCCTGTTCTGTACTGATCAGGCAGATCTGGAATTATGTAGGCAAATACATAAGCCTGGGGCAGATTTAGGGATGGGAACAGGATGACGAGCCTTAACAGTAGTGACAATAGCTGGCTCCCACTCGGTGCCAGCCACCAGGCCAAATGCTATCCGTACACGAAGCAGCAGAACCAGAGAGCCTGGGGTCAAAGCCTGGCTCTTGAAAGCTGTGTGGCTTCAGATGAGTTATACAATGCCCCTCTGCCTCAATTTCCTCACCTACAAAATGCAGATCAATAGCAGCACCTGGCTGGGCGCGGTGGCTCACGCCTCTAATCCTAGCACTCTGGGAGGCTGAGGCGGGAGGATTGTTTGAGCTCAGGAGTTCGAGACCAGCCTGAGCAAGAGCGAGACCCCCGTCTCTACTAAAAAATAGAAAGAAATTAT